CTTTTTCATGCGCAGCACGCTGCAGCAGCAATTCGTTACTATTGGTTAAGAATTTTAAGTAAGCTAGATGACGCACTTCCGGCGCAAAATACATTTTGCCGCAGTTCGTTGAAGTTGAACCGAACGAACAGCAAGCAGCAAGCGGCAAAATCGAGGCAATATTATTTATTGCAATAAATATTAGGAAAATTAACGAAGAATGGCTTCGGATAAGGTACGAATATTTGTAAATTAGATCATTTTATACTTTACACTTTACTTTTTCAAATTTGTGGTAAAGTATAAAATGATCTAATTTACAAACATGTATCCGTACCTTATCCGAAGCCATTTTTCGTTTATTTTCCTAATATTTATTGCAATAAATAATATTTTTATAATGAAACGACGGACATGTTGTACGCTTTCTCGATTTTGCCGCTTGCTGCTTGCTGTTCGTTCGGTTCAACTTCAACGAACTGCGGCAAAATGTATTTGCGCCGGAAGTACGTCATCTAGCTTACATAAAATTCTTAACCAATAGTAACGAATTGCTGCTGCAGCGTGCTGCGCATGAAAAAGTACCTTTAGAGTTAACTCGTACCGTCTCGTACCTAACTCAACTTTGGAGAAAACTTTATGAACGCAGCCCTTATACTTTTACCATGGTCCATGCTATAGGCCTGTTCTTTTTCTCTGCACTGTGCCCACAGTGCAATAAGTTGAAGTGAAATAGATATACGTTTGTTTCACTTCAACTTATTGCACTGTCTGAACTGGTGCAGACAGTGCAGGCAAAAAGAACAAGCCTAAATGTCGTTGGTATGTACGAGAACAAGGAGGAGGTTCGCTGTGTGAAGTTTGTTGGTTGATTTTTAAACATTTTAATGAGAATCATATTAAAATGTGTCTAATAATGTATACAAACATTTAATATGTATTTTCTGATTTTTCCTTTTTTCGTTGGGACATTTTTCTGTTGCGTTGAGAGAACGCGATTCGTGTTTATGAATCCGTTACCATGACAGCGGATTTAAATCCAGGAGACTCTGGAGTGTGTAAATACATGGCAATATATTGTCGATTTTGTTATTTTGTATATTTTATGTAACTACATATCTTATGAGAGTAAAATGACGGAAGCAACCAAATCTGATGTGCAAATCATTTTGAACATAAAAGAAGGTAAAATTTTATGTGTCCTTATATATTTATACCATGAAAACATTGCAAGTTTCTATTTCTAAAATTGATGTTTTCCTTGAAAATATTCTTTTTAAAAATGTATGTATTTTATAATTTTTCATAATTTTAATAATATAATAGGAACTGAAAACAGAAAATATTTATTTATATATTAATTTATGAATTATGATGATTTTTAAGTTATAATAATATGATTAGGGAATTTTCATACAGAACCTTATTTTCATATGGAATATTAAATTTATGAGGAAATCAAATTGTTATTCATCAAATTATAGTAATTATTGTCATAAAATAAATATTATGTATGTATATGTTACAGGAAAGGGTTTTGAACAAGTTTTACAACCAACATTATTAATTGGAACTTTAAATGGACACTCCTTAGAAACTGATAGAATCGAGTCGTGTCCAGCTCCACAATATGCCACAGACTTAGTTTGGGAAACAAATAAAATAATGCTGAGAAGGTAAGAATGATACTTTTTTTTATTTAAATTGTTATTACTTGTTAATAAAATAAAGATGTTTGATATTATATTTCATTTTGTATTCAATTTATAGAATGCGATCAGAGCAAGCCTCATTAAAATTAGAATGCTTTGCTTTTAAAGAGAACGAAGAAGGTAGAGAGAAACTCGGATACATTCTACTTAACATACGTTCTGCACAAGTAATATCTAAATGTGGAGATTTGAGCCCAAAAGCAAGTTGGCACAAGTTACTGGGATTACGAAGTGACCTTAAAATACAAAAGCCTGAGTTACTTCTTGCATTAAGAGTTGAAGATCGAAAGGGTGTAAATTTAAATCCAACAGCAGAGGTAAAAAATATACTATTATTTTTGTATAAATAGTATATTCCAAGCTTAATAATAATGTTTTATAGTCTCCCCTAGTAAACAAATAATTATTAGTAAAGTAAGAGAATTGTATAACATATGATTATATTAAACTATAATAATTAGTTTAATAAAATATGTGTGTGTATGTGTGTGTGTGTGTTGTGTACCTATAAGAGAGCATCACACACACACCATCATTTTATATTATTTTGTAGCTAAGAAGTTTAATAGATAAAGATATTATTTTGGAAGATAATAAAATAATCCCTTACTTACATCCTGATGAGCAATTGATTCAATTGGGGCCTTTAGATACTTGTTGTGAATTATTTATATTAAGTATCATGGCTATGTATACAGGAAATTTACATTTATTATTACCTGAAAATTTAAATAAGCACAGCACTATGCGTTTCTCGTATCGAGTTCTGGAAAACGATGTAGAACTTAAATCGTTTAAGACAAAGTTTGGAAAATCTGATTTTATCCCTGAAAAAGTAATAATGAGAATACGAAGCTCCTTGAGTGTTTTAAAGCAATATTTACAATTGACACCATATTTGTTAATATATTTAAAACATGAAAATGGCATAATAGCTGAATCATCAGTTAATCTGCAATCTCTAGTGCCTACAGATAGTTACCAAGAATTTCTTAAATGTGCTACACACGCGAGTACTACTTTAAATGAACAATGTTTTCTTATTAAACAAGATTTGATAGAAAAACCCTTTGAAAATCAGAATCATCAGAAACCTTACCTTAATATGCAACTTAAATTGCAATATATTGGAAGTAAAAAAAATATTTTATTCAATGCTGATACAGTAATGAACTCCAACAATTGTATGATACCTAACAATCAAATGAATCGCAATGAAGAAAGTATAAATAATGTTGATCAGGTAGAATAGAAACTTAGTCATTTTATCGACAATGTTCCAACCCTAGTAATTATTAAAATTGATGATGTGAAGATTATGTATAATTTAAAATGTTTAATTTCAGAGATGTCCAGAGGTTGAATCTCATAGAAATCCTAGCGGGGATTTTGGAAAGTCTAGTTTCAGGAATGTTTCTAGTGAAATAAAATGTCCAATAGAATATAAAAATGCAAATAAGCAATCTGTTGATTGTCAACACTCAAAACATCAAACGGAGTCTAAAGTTACATGTTCGCGCTCGTGTGATGGAATGCTATACAACGTTAATAAAAATCATATCAGAGATGTAGGATCTTATCACTGTTATTGTTTACGCATTTCACTTGAGGCAATATCATTAGTATCTGAGATGTTATCTGGACGAGAAATTGAATTTCGGTTCGATATATATATATTTTTTCAATTAAACGAATATACAGTAAGGATATTTTCTTTTTAATATAATTTTTCTACGTAGATTTCACCATCCAAAAACTGAAGTTATGTCAACAGCATATGCAACAATGCCAGTTTTACCAAATGAAAAAGTTAAATTGCAAGATGTTGTATGCCAATTTTACTTTATATCCACACCAAATGAAATAAAACAATTATTACAATCTTTTCCACCAAAAATCAGTATATGCGATACAAATCGAGATGATGAATTGTCACTATTAATGCTTGATGTAAAACCGTTATTATATCAAGAAAAGGTAATATTGATATTATAATTAATATAGATTTGTAGAATAATAAAAATTAAAACAAGAATTTTTTTCAGTCCGAATGTCAGTATAAATTATCTCTGTTCAATACAGATCGTAACAAAATTGCTGATATGGATATTATACTCAAATTAGAAGATCGTGGACCGCATTATATATTAAAGAAAGAAGCTATCGGTAGGCATACATTAAGTTTATTAAAATTTTCATTTCCTATTGTTTTATTTCCTATTGTGTGTATTGTTCCTTACCAATAGACTTCAACTCTCTATTTATTGAAATGGTTTATTTAAGATAAAAATCTTGGCCCACCAATATTGGACGATAGCTTAGCATATAAAATAGTAGACGAGCTTGAAACTTGGAAGGAACGTCAAAAGGAAATGTTTAAAGTCGAGGTAAAACAAGATAACAACAATTTAATTGAAACAATTTCTATTTCTAATTTATATTAATATTATGTTATTTATATGATATTAATTAGCTCAAAAGAAAAGAAGGACGACATTTGAACATGCTGAGTGAGGAATGGCGAATACAGAAGGAAAATCTAGAATCAAAGCTTGCATACAGTGTCGAACAATGTAAAACATTGGCCAACAGTTTAAACAACGCTACTGAAGATTTACGAAAGCGTAGATTAAAAAGCCTAGAAAATGAGACCAGATTAATAAAAGCAAATGAGGACTTGCAATGGAGATATGAAACCAAGTTACAAGAACTCAAAGATTTATTGCATGCAACACAAAGCGATCTTACATCAAAGGTTTGTGAAGAATATCTTAGTAGTAGTAGTAAAATAGCAGGTGGGGCTTTATGAGTTCTCAAGCGTGATCTAGATCCTTAAGGTTCCATTGTTCCTCTTCTATTCCACTCCCTGCTTGTTCCCTAGGTCACGAAGTCAGACCCAGTCTCGTGTCGCGTACTAGACTTATTAGACTGCTGACCTTCGCTTTTTCTAGATTCCCGGGTGTCATGAACATATGTCCCCAGATTCTATATCTCTTACAGGAGAGCATAGGGCAGTGGCACAGTAAGTGCCCTTGCTTTCTTCTCCACATAACCGGCAGTTTTTCTGCTTCGCTATTCCTATGTTGAATAGATGTGCCCTGAGAGACAAATTCCCTGTAAAAATAACCTATGCCTATTGTCTTTTCCCATTGCCAACAGTTCTGTCGTTCTTGTTGGTTTAGGTTGTTCCATAAGTTGTTTGGCTCGACGGCATTCTCCAGGAGTTCAGATGTTCTCATTCGAGCCACTTTTTGATGTAATTTTTACTTACTGAAAATGGGACCTCTATGATCTGTCCAGCCGAGTCCTTTTCGGTGCCCAGCGTTGCCAGCCCATCCGCCCTCTCATTTTCAGGTATTCCCTGATGTCCAGGAACCTACACTAGGGTAACTTGCTTTGTTACCCCCAATGTTGTGAGAGCTTGCATGCAGTCCTAAACCTAATGATTCTGTGGAGGTCTTAGAAAGTGCTTCAATTGCTGCTCTGCTGTCTGAGCAGATATAATTTACATATTTAATTTCCTTATTCCCGAACTTAAGTGGCTCAATGGATTCCGGCTTGTATTTTCTGATGAAATGGTCGAGGTCTTAGTGGGGTTTACCATCAGTCCCCTCGTCCTGCACCAGTTTTGTACTATTTCCAAGGCTTCGTCCATCCGTTCCTTGAATGTTGAGAGGAAATTACTCCTGGTGATAATGGCTACTTCTTGTCTTCTGAAGTCCATGAAGGTGGGTATCGTTCCTCTGTTCAGGATGATCAGTCTGGTGCCCAAAATGAATTCATGGAGGCTCTCTTCCCTCAAATTTATGTTCGAGATCCCCCATCCTATATGGTAGGAGTTTGCGCAGTTATACCCAATAGGAGTTCGAGCCTCCCTTCCTTCGTGTAGGACACTAGCTCTTTTACCTTTTTTGGTGGTAATGCATCATAGAAGTCATAGGGCATGTAGACTGACCCTATTAATGCGTCCATGTGTTTGTACTCGCTCTGGTTTAGCCTCGCCCGTATAACGGTGGTGTCTTCATCGTTGAGTTGTGACATAAAAATTGCATTTAGTTCCTTAATCGCAATACAGGTCCTAACTTTGTCCTGAGTGTCTGCTTTATATATAGTTTCACAGCCACTCAGTCCCTTAATAACTTTCAGCTACGAAGGCTATCCTGATGATCTCTTTAATCGTTTAGGTATATGATCCTTGGTCAGTGAACTTGGGTCTCTTGCCCGGACGATTCTCCGTCAGTCTAGGCGTACAATGTATCGGCCTGGCACGTTTTTGCGTACCTATCGCCGCACCCACCTTCCCGTCCAACGAGTTTGAGGTATTAGAGGGAGAACGTTGGCTTTTGCAGCCTGTTACTCCTTCCTTTTATAGCGGCGTCTCGCCGCTTTGCTATAGCGAGTACAGGTCTTGGTTAGATTCGTATTCGCCGTCTTATTCTCCTCCGGTTGTTCGCTTTCAAGAGAAGCCACTCCCGAAAGAACTTGGTTTAAATCGTTTTTCTTTGTTTCGCTTTCCATTCTTGATCCCACAAGTACCGCGGTCGCGCGATCTCACCGGGCAGAACCGCGAATGCTCGGGGGCTTGGCTACTTACTCCTGAAGTTCGCCCGGTATTCAGGAAGCACCGCGTTAACGACGTAACTCCCCCTGCGCCACGCAGCTCCAGACACGGTAGTTCACGCCTTAGCTTGGGGAGTTCTTCTTAGTTAAGCGTCTACGTGCCCCCGCCCCGCAACTTCTACAAGAAGGGAACCCATTCGGGGGGAAAGAATATTTTAGTTACGTATATTTCTTTTCGGACTTGCATCTTTCGTGTAACATACGCTTAAAAAAGAACTATTAAATATTATGTCTTATGATATATGTATATACAACATTGCAGATTGCCAAACTTGAGGAGAAGAAAACTGCTTTAGAGGCACAAATCGAAATATTATCGTATGAAAATGAGAATATGAAATCGTCGATAAGTAAACAAATGAATGAATTACAAATGTATCAAAAAGCATCATTAACTCAGGATCAAACAGCGTCTTTATTGCAAGAAGTAAAAATTCTCGAGGAAAAATTAGATAACGCTCAGAAGGGAAAAGAATTTTTTAGAGAGCAATGGAGCAAAGCGGTTCGCGAATTACATAGAATGAAAGTGGATTATCAACAAGCTATGCAAGTTCAAATCAAGAACAGTAGGGAAGAACTGATGAGTACAGAGTATGTTATATATATTTGTTTCAACTAATCTTATTATAGGAATCCTTCAGATTAAAGCATTAATGACAAAATTTTGACAAATTAGTAGATTGAAAAATATAGAATTATGTTTTTTACAAGTGTGTATATAGATTTTTACACTGTATTATGAAATCGGGATAATTTAATACGTAATAGAATTTAATGGAAGTGCATCTTCCTGTACTTACATTTCATATAACTGAAATTTTCACTTTTCCCGCATACAGCATTGCGGAAATTTTGTCTACAGACAGAAAAGCATTGAACAACGATCAACTTTTGCTGCAAGAGCTTCAGAAAGAAATAGATGTGATCAAGCCAAAACAATCTTCTGCAAAAGAAACCTACAATCAAATATTTACGACACCTGATGACATCTGTTACGACGTTCACTGTAATAATAGTAAAATCGTTGACAATAAACCAGAATACAACGAACGATTGCAGGCGCTCAAGGAGGAACGTGATTCTCTCTTAAGGACCGGGAATTACACAGACGACGACGTAGTGATTAAAAAACTTAACGCAGAGATTCGATCCTTACTGACAAGCAGGTAGCGAATTTATTTTCTGCTTGTTTTCTCCGATTAACATTGGATTTTCATATAAGAAAGGGAAGGCATCCAATCTCGAAATCAAAATATATGACATGTTACAAGATAATTTATATATATTTATACAAATACATATTTTTAATATTTTACTAAAAATTTTTTAATTCTTTATGTTGATAATTTTTTGAAAAAAGGAAGTATTTCTAAAGGGGCATAATAGTTTTGCAGCCATATCGGTCCTTCATAAGTTTTTTCTCGATTCATATCAAACCATCTACCTTTAGGTAGATAGATATTACGACTTTCGACACCCTCTTCAGTTATCGGAGCAACCAATATAGATTCTCCAAGAAGATATTCTGAAATTCAATTAAGCACAGTAACATTTAAACATTAATTACTTATAGATCACTATTGATGCTTTCTGGAGTTGTTAAGAACATCTATAATATATATGAATAAGAATAACTGTTTACATGTGTGTTTGGCAAATATCATATAATTTTATATATTCTTATGAACTTACCGTCATTAATTTTGTGAGCTTCTGAATCGAGCGGATCAATCCACCAAATAGGTGGATTTACAGGAATGCCACTATCAACAGCCTGCTGCATGGCAAATAAAATATCTGTCGAGTAATTCGCGTGCAATTCGGTAAATCCTCTACAAATGTTGATAATCTGGTAAAATACAGATGGTTGTTATTTCTTTGCAATGATGTTATAACTTAAAGAAGAAAATATTAAATTCATTAATTTAACGTACAGCAATCCATTCATCTCAACTAGGATTTTCCATATTACTCACATCATCATCGAAATCCCACGGTACAAAAGAATATTGTATCGTTGGCATAAAGACGGTGGTCTGCAGCCATCTGATGTATAACTCTTTAGATGGATAGTCCGTTCTGTCGAGCGAACCATCGAGGTAGCCATTGCCGCCGATCATGTCCGGCAGCACATACACATATCCATTAAGGTTCATCTGTAGTAGCGTCGTGATTAGTGTAGGCAGACCATTATTCCACGTCCACCTGGTGTCTTTATCGAGCATGCGAACAAATATCGGTAAGTCCTGGGTGCGCCATCCCACCCGCATTTCGATGTTGTCGTCGAAGTTGTGTGCGAGTATGCGGGCAAATTCCTGCGTGAATATACCTGGCTGCAAGTCAGACGGGCCGTTCAACTTTGGCACCTGTGGTAACCAGGACACCTCACCAGCATCGAACTTAAAACTGTCAATGCCCAAATCTTGAAGACGTTTCACGCGGTCCACCCACCACGCTACAGCCTTCGGATTCGTAAAGTCAATCGTGGCGGCATCTGAACCTAAAGAAGACAAAATAAATAATATTAAATGATTAAAAATTCACATAAATTACGATCGTTTGCAAATAAATATCGCAAAGTGTATATTTTTTATTTCTTTAAGTGACGTAGAATGTTTAATATTGAAAAAGATATAGTAACCAAATGTAACAAAGAACGACTGAAGAAAGGTTGATTTTAAATTAATTCTTACCCTTCCACCACGACATTTGAACATTCCCTTCGAGATTTTTAACAAAATAATTGTTATTCAGTGCAAAGGAGTACGCGGGTTCACAGTTTCGGTTGATAAAGGGATGTATCCATAAAGTGATGCGGAATCCCTTGTTCTTCAATCGCTGCATGAGAGCATTGACATTGGGAAACTTAACGGGATCGAATTCGGCGGTGCCGTAACAAATTTCCCAGTTGTCATCTATCTCGATCTGACTATTCTTGAATTTATGGGCTACAATTTCGTCCGCGTAAGTTTCCACCATCTTCTCGTTGATGTTGGCCTTGTACCTGGCCCAAGTAGACCATATAGGATGTTTAACCATCCGTTCATTTGGATGACCCGTCGGCTTCCCCAAATGATTTTTTACCGCATATTGATGAGCAGTTTTTGAATCCGAAAAGACACCCACTGTGTAGGTGACTTTGATGTTGTCGCGATGATGGTAGGGCGCTTTATTTTTGACGATCATACATAGGTATTTATCTCGATAATTGTTCTGATCGAGGAATAGCGGGCTTGCATCGTCTACGTAGATGTAAATTCCTTTGCTGGACAACCAATAACGCTCGGCTATTGCCATATTTCCAGGATGCCTCGACAAGTATGGCTCTTCTTCATAGTACATATTCTGCACAGGCCAACGCTGATAACGAAACTGCGGACCGCCAAACCATTGCGTGTCATCAGTAAGTTGGAAACAATCGAGGAGTTCGTCAGCAGGATTAGTGAGCGTACGAGTGATAATGGCGGTTTCTTTTTCGGGACTGAAGTTGATTGTTGTCTGTGTAGAATCCTTTAATATACACACTTTATTGTCATCACATTTCTCGAAGGGACTCTTCTGTGTATTCGATTTACTTCTCGTAAAAAATATATTAACCATGTTCGTGCCATCTGAAACAAATATTAATTGACATAGTTTCTTCATTAGAATCTATAAAAATTAAACTACTTTTCCTAAGATATTAATCAAGAAGAAATATTAAAGCTTATGAAAATAATTGAAGAGATAACTTAGAAAAGAAAGTTTACATATATTGCAAAATTAATAGAAATTGATAAAAAAAAATTCATTTAATATAACATGAAAAATATGAAACTATATATTATTCAGGGCTAGGCATATATTTAAAATACTTTTATTTAAAACACAGTTTTCGCAATAAAAGTAGATTTTATATTTTATATTTCAGCGATGTACATGAAAGTATTACGTATTTTGTATTTAAAATTGAAAGATTGAAAGCTTTATGTACTTCGTAATTTAAATAATAACAATCTTCAATATCTTAGTATTTAAAATACAAAATACAAAATACTTTCAATCTTTTATTATTAATACTGAAATACAAAATATAAAATACTTTTATATACTTCCATAAAATATAAAAGGCAAAATATTTTTATGTACGCCGTTCAAATATAAAATACACGATACAATTGTCTTTCAATTTTATCGTTTTCAAATAAAAATATTTTAAATACATGCTCAGCCCTGATATTATTATATTATGACTTACCATTTTTCGTGAGGTTGAAAATTATTAAGTTATTATTAATTTGATCTACATTGATAACACCATTTTTGAGAGCAATATTCTTTATAGGAATTCCGTAGACAACAGTAAGAACTGATAATAACAATATTATCAAGGAACGCATCACTGAAACGGATGTATTTACATTAATTTAATGATTTTTACTTTTTTAAACAGCACTTGTATATCTTCAAGGAACGTAATGATATTTAGAAAAAAATGCTAGGCAGTTGTATGAGATACGTTGTCTACATATTTCACCTGTTAGTTTTATCTAAAGCAAAGAAAATTATACACTTCTTGCTCCGTTTTAACAGTTATATTTTGCTCGTTATAATTGTTATAATCGTCGCATCCCTAGAGTAACTGAATAAGCGGCGCCTATTTATATTAATTTATATGTACTTACTCATACAACGATAAATGTTGCATGCTATTAATATTATTATATCAGCATGAAAAACATCAATCGTAAAATTGATAACAAAAATCAGATATCAAATCATGTAATATACCCAATTCTTTGTTATATATACGTATATCATTGCAATGAATATTACATAATAATTCGATATCTGATTTTTAATCATCAATATTTCTACAAGATTTCTTCTGATATACCGTAGGGGAAAAATAATGAAAAATAATTTTTTTCTGAAATTTTTCTTTATAAAATATCATTTATTATAAAAATTAATTTTATTTCTCATCGACACAGTTATATTTATCACCTACTCTGTTTACATTTTTACTCTTTTTACTATATATTATTTACTAATATAGACTTTTCAACAATTTTTATTTGGATTTACATTGGATACTGGTGCTTATTTTACTGTTATATTGACTTAATATATGCCTGTTAAATTTGTTATTTCTGCTTCATTATTTTTTTGCTCTATTTTGATCAATTGAATTTGTGTCTTGTCTTAAACACTACGCTGCTAAATGACACCAACGTTTGGAATTATTATTTATTCATTTAGTATCTTTCCGCGTTTGCTGTTGTACTGAAGAGAGTCAAAATCCAAAGAAACGTTCACATTTTTATATATTTTACTATACAATTTTACTATAAATTATACATTTTATATGCACTAACACCCGTATGGACTCTCAGTAGGTGTTTCTCGTTTCTTTTTATTGACGTATACGAAATTTTGTGTGTGTGTTTTCTTTTAATACGTAATTTATATCAATACCTTTACATAATCAATAAAATCATAATTATCCTTTATTCATTCTCGGATTATTTAATAGCTTTCAAAATATTTGTATTTTTGTGCATTTTTACGTGTAACAAATAAATGATTTATATGAGTATTCTAACATTTTGAAAAAAACTCGATTCGGAACTTTTTTACTAATACTGCTGATATACTTCAAAAATTTTCTAATAAAGCAATATTACAATTAGTTAAGACAATAAGAAACGTGCAATCTGTATCTTACGTCTAAAACATTCTTTTTATTATTACTTTTTTTGTTTAGTAACATTAATAATCTAGATACCGGTGTATTGCATTTGCAAATTTTAATCATTCTTTCAAATATAATTTTTATGCATTATTCGTGTTTATTTACTTGCAACTTTTTAACTTTTGCTGTCATAATTATATATATGCAAGTAAATAAACGCGAATAATGCATAAAAATTAATTTAAAAAGGTTTTAACGGAATTATTGGCTCTTGCCCTTATCTCCTATATTAGTTGTTTAATACATATTGAGCCTTATCTCAATCACATAAAGAGTAAGAGTATTGAAAATATTTTGGAAGAAAATTTAAATTAGAACAAAATAAATAAATAAAAATCTCTCTCAAAAGATTGCATGTCTTAATTAGGCTTTTACGTTTTTGCTAAATTTAAAATAAACATGAAAAATAATATTAATTTCTTATAAGTTAGAGGATAATAACCACGAATTCAAACAAGGAAAGTAAATATCTCGTACGATTGATAACTGCACAATTATATTGATATATACAATGTACTTAATGATAAATTTTATCTCATTAATAACATTATTGATCATCAATATCAGATTTTATATGTATGTGATAATTGCTATCTATTATTTATCTATCTACTATTTATCTGAAATATGTGACATGTTCCTTGACATGCAACGCATGTTTTAAACTCGTCCATTGAATTAAAGAGCTAACGGTTAAAAATACATGTGTTTATTCAAAATAATATATAATTAATCATTCTTATACATGTTTCAAAAATATAAAAGTTCCTTAATCATCGACAAAATGTTTAAATCGAATTTACTATTGGCATCGAGTTGCGGAATATGTTATATGTTACAGCGCTACTTTAACAATTTCTTTTTGTAGGAATTTTATTTTGATCAAAACACCAATGGTAATTTTAACAAATTTTGATACGTTAAAAAATCAAAAGCAAAAATAGCATGACTTGACAGAAGTTGAATATTCTGTATTTACGTTTAATACTGTACAACAAGAATATTATGTAACAACAATTTTGTATTTCTCTGGCATGCAGCCTCGCGAAAATTTTGTCTTAAACAATAATCACATTTTACTGAACCGACATCAGAAGGCGATAATCAAACTAAAACAATCCTTCGCTGCAAAAGGGACCAACAATTAAATATTTATGACGTCTATTACAACATACCATGTAATGATAATAACACCATTGATATTATGTACCAATAAATACAATGGAGCGGTTGCAGGCGCAGAAGAAGAAATACGATTCTCCTTTAACTTCCAGGTGGCCGGGCTTTTTTTTATCTGAAAAAGTGCACTTTTGCTAAATATTCTCATATAAGTGCAGCTCAATGATCAACTGATGTGTCGACCATAGGGGACATCATATGGTGCCAGGTCGGCCGTCGACAGAGAGTTATGAAAAATTTTTTTCGTTTTAAGTCAGGAAATATCATGGGTAGTTTCCTAGGGGTTTTCGAGGTCGAAAAAACTTTTCTGACCATCCTAGGCTCTGAAAAATCTCATATAAATTAGAAATCAACGTTTATTCACCTAATTTTTCAATATTACGTAGTTGAATTGATATAAATTTTATATCATAGATACATAATATACGATATATACGGTTCCATATATATTATATATTTAAATACATTTTACACAATCAAAATTGATGACACCATATGGTGACTCCCGGCCACCTGGAAGGTTAAAGACTGAAATACGACTAATAGTCACGGTGATCAAAACACTTAATGCAGATACTCGAACCTTCCTTGTAAACAGGTAGCAAATTTTATTTGCTATTTATTTTCAATTTTCATATATAAGAAGAGGAAGGCATGTCATCTCGAAAACAAAATATATAACATGTTACAAAACAATTTATACATATTTATACAAATAAATATTTTAAATATTTTACTGAAAATTTTTTGTTGATCTCTTTATGTTAATCTCTTGAAGTAAGGAAGTACACTTAAAGGAGCATAATAGTTTTCCAGCCATATCGGTCCTTCATAAGTTTTTTCTTGATTCATATCAAGCCAGCTTCCTTTAGGTAGATAGATATTACGACTTTCGACACCCTCTTCAGTTATCGGAGCAACCAATATAGATTCTCCAAGAAGATATTCTGAAATTCAATTAAGCACAGTAACATTTAAACATTAATTACTTATAGATCACTATTGATGCTTTCTGGAGTTGTTAAGAACATCTATAATATATATGAATAAGAATAACTGTTTACATGTTTGGTTGATGCTTTCTGGAGTTGTTAAGAACATCTATAATATATATGAATAAGAATAACTGTTTACATGTGTGTTTGGCAAATATCATATAATTTTATATATTCTTATGAACTTACCGTCATTAATTTTGTGAGCTTCTGAATCGAGCGGATCAATCCACCAAATAGGAGGATTTACAGGAGTGCCGTTATCAATGGCCTGCTGCATAGCATTTAAAATACGTGTCACATAACTCTCGCGTAATTCGGTATAAAATCTGCAGATCTCGAGAGTCTGATAAAATATAAATGGATGTTATTTCTTCGCAATAATGTTATAATTTAAGAAAGAAATTAAAATCTTTAATAAATCATACAGCAATCCATTCATCTCAGCTAGAATTTTTCATACTCACTTCATCATCGTAATCCCATGGCACAAAAGAATATTGTATCGTTGGCATGAAGACGGTGGTCTGCAGCCATCTGATGTATAACTCTTTAGATGGATAGTCCGTTCTGTCGAGCGAACCATCGAGGTAGCCATTGCCGCCGATCATGTCCGGCAGCACGTACACATATCCGTTAAGATTCATCTGCAGTAGCGTCGTGATTAGTGTCGGCAGACCGTTGTTCCACGTCCATCTGGTGTCCTTATCGAGCATGCGAACAAATATCGGTAAGTCCTGGGTGCCCCATCCTACCCGCACTTCAATGTTTTTGGGGAAGTTGTATGCGAGTAAGCGGGCGTATTGCTTCGTGAATATACCTGGCTGCAACTCAGACTGACCGTTCAACAAGTTCGGCACCTGTGGTAACCAGGACACCTCACCAGCATCGAACTTAAAACTGTCAATGCCTAAATCTTGGAGACGCTTAACGCGGTCCACCCACCATGCCACAGCCGCGGGATTCGTAAAGTCAATCGTGGCGGCATCTGAACCTAAAGAAGACACAAATAAATAACATTAAATGATTGAAAATTCACATAAATTACGATTGTTTGCAAATAAATATGGCAAAGTGTATATTTTATATTTCTTTAAGTGACGTAGAATGTTTAATATTGAAAAAAATTTGGCAAATAAATGTTAGCAAAGAATAACTGTTTTTAATAAGGGAGGTCGATTTTAAATCAATTCTTACCCTGCCACCACGACATTTGAACATTCCCATCGAGATTTTTAACAAAGTAATTGTTATTTTGCGCGAAGGAGTACGCGGATTCACAGTTTCGATTGATGAAAGGATGTATCCACAAAGTGACGCGGAAGCCCTTGTCTTTTAATCGCTGTGTAAGAGCGCTGACGTCGGGAAACTTCACGGGATCGAACTCGGCGGAGCCGTAACAAGTCTCCCAGTTATCATCTATCTCGATCTGACTATTCTTGAAGTTATGGGCCACAATTTCGTCTGCGAAGGTCTCTACCACTTTCTCGTTGATGTTGGCCTTGTACCTGGCCCAAGTAGACCATATAGGATAACGAACCATCAGTTCGTCGGGGAGATCCGTTGGATGACCCAAATGCTTTGCAACTGCGTATTGATGAGCAGTTTTCGGATCTGATAAGATACCTATTGTGTAGTTAACTTCGATGTTGTTGCGATAATGATAGGGCGCTTTGTTCTTGATGATCATGCATAAGTAGTTATCCCGATAATTGTTCTGATCGAGGAATAGCGGACTTGCCTCGTCAACATAGATGTAAATCCCTTTGCTGGACAGCCAATAACGCTCGGCTAATCCCATGTTTGAAGGATGCGTAGGCAGGTACACCTCTTCGTCATAGTACATATTTTGTATAGGCCAGTGCTGATAGCGAAACTGCGGCCCGCCGAACCATTGCGTGTCATCACCAAGTTGGAAACAATCAAGGAATTCAGCATTGGGATCGCTGGATGTACGAGTGATAGTGACGGTTTTGTCGTTGTGACTGAAATCGTTGTACATAATTTTAGTCTTCGAGAACAAGATATTAACCATTTTCGTACCATCTGAAATAAATATTATATTTATCAATAGCTTCTTTTTCATTAAAACATATAAAATTTATATTGATTTTACAGAAATATTAATTATCAGGAAGAAATATTGAACATTATGAAAATAAATTCTGTTGAAATAAACTGTTTTTTAAATTCATAATATTAAGTTATTTTTAATTTGAATTATTTTTCTATCATTTTTATAGATCACTACTGCTCCTCAATATGTTATTAATGTATGTAATTAAAACAATGGAGTTAAACTATTTAAGACAAAACAATGCATTAAATATAGCTTTAATTATTGGGAGTACAAATTAGTTCGGTCCGTTTTCTAAAAGATGATCGCCTCCAAAGGCGAGTCTTTTTTTGAGATGGAATTCGAAATTGCCTGACAGATGGGAAAAAATAGTAGCCAGCGATGGACTTTAATTAATCTGTTCATTCATTTTGTTTTGAAATAAATAATGCATTTTTGAACACAAAAAACAGACCGAACTAATTTGTATACCTAATAGTTTATTATTTACTAAGTTTATATGTTAATAGAAACATTATTTATCTTAAAACTGACCACAGAAATGGGTTTTGACTTACATTTTGACACATGTGGAAGTTAAAAATTACAAAATATTTAATTTAAGAGATTGGGTTACGTTGTTTCTTTAATATCTAAAAATATAATTGAAGAGAGACATGTTAGAAAAGCAAGCGCGCGCGCGCACGTGTGTGTGTGCGTGTGCATGTATATAAAATGTATAACAAAATTATTAGAAATTGATAAAAACATTTATTTAACAAATATAAAAAATAAAAGAAATTATTATTAAAATAAAAGAAACTATATGTATTATGTTGTAACTCACCATTTTTCGAAAGATTGACAATCAACAAATTAGGATTAGTTGTATCTACATCAAGAGTACCATCTTGAAGAACATATTGAAATCCTCTAGCAGCAGTGAGGAATATCAGTATTATTAATAAACGTAGTTCTAAAATAAACACAATCATATTAACTAAATAATCTTTAGTTTTTTACATAACACATATATATTAATTAAAGAAACGTCGCAAAAGCGTTTAAAAAAATACTATGAATATATAAGATGCAGATACATCGTCTGTATTTTCGTCTGTTATTTGATCTCGATCCAAGGAAACTGTGCACTTACCGCTCCGTTCCAAAGGCTGCATTTTGCATTATAGTATACTCTTGACGACTAAGCAGCCCCGGGTTTACGTCAACTTATAAATACTCACACAACTACATTCTGCTGATATTGTTATATCAACATAAAAAACATTAATCACGTTCGTCAAACTAAAAATCAGATATCAAATCATATATAACATAGCTAGTTTTCTATTATATATTGCTATTGAAAAATATGATATTACATAATGGTTTGAGATATCTAATTTCTAATTATCGATATATTCCAAGACTGTTCATTGTTCATATTGTTTCATATATTTATTTAGCTTTTTTAGATATTAAAATTTTTATATCTATCCGTGTTCTAATGAAATACACAAAATACGTTTCTTTTTGTTGCCACAGTCTAGAATTTCAATACTTTCGCACAATTAATAAAAAATCGTACTTAATCCTTTTATTTCTGATTATTTAATAACTACAGACAAATATTTATTTGTACTTTTGTACATTCTTGTTCGTGACAAATAAACAATTTATAAAATATTTTAATATACTGAAAACATTCAGGAATCTTTGTATTAATTTTAGTTTTAATTACAAATAATTTTTATTGTAAAATTATTATTATTATTATAAAAACATTTTTTTTTGTTTTTGAAAAATTTTTTTTTAATATTTCAGTTATAATTTTACATGATTTTTCTGCATTTATTATAATTACATTTATTATACGTTACATTTTATTATGCATTATATTATACGTTACATTAAATTTATTTTATATTCATTTGCATTTATTGGGTCTGTTTTTTGTTCCTGTACTGCCTGAACTAGTATGCACGGTGCAATAAGTTAAAAATTGTCAATGAACAAACGTATATTTGTTTCACTTCAACTTATTGCACCGTGTGCACTAGTTCAGACAGTGGAGGAACAAAAAACAGACCCATTATCTTATTTTACCGATAAGTTTCAAAAAACATACATCATTTGTGTTATTTATATAAACTAACTTTTTCCACCTATCTACACAAGTCATTTCTTATTCAATATTTCTTATTCATAGACATAAAAATATAGACGGTAAAATAATATTTTATTTCTTAATTTAAAAAGCTTACTATATAGGAGGAAACAAAAAATAAATATATTTTTTTTTATTTTTCGAGAAAAAGGATACGTTGCTATTTTTATTTACAGGATTTATAATAGAAAAGATAAAGTTTTGTTTATTATTGTATATTTGTAATATTCTCTCTATTGCCACTTTTATTTCAATAAAATAATCTTGATATAATTTTTCACACATCTGTTTTAATATTGTATAGAAGTATTGCAGTTGCAAGTTGATGAAATTATCTTTCGATACAATTTCTAAGTATCGTTCACGTTTACTCGCAATTTCTTTACTTTTAATATTATAATCTCATATAAGTTTAATGTGTAAGTGTTTAAAGTATTTTAAAATAGAAGAAATTGAATTTGAAGTGAGATAAAAAAAATAAAAATGAAGAATTACATTAAATTATACTGCTGTTATGTTCTTATTATAACTTAAAATAAACACGAAGAGTTGTCGGAGCTAAATCTTAGCAGGTGCCTAATAATATTGGATGCATTCAAAGTACGATCGCACACTGAGCGCTCATTAAGCTCTTTCATTTGATTGGTCTATATTTTGAAATCTAACAGAATATGCCAATCAGATGAAAGAGCGCTCAGTAAGCGGTCATGCAAATATATCTTTCAATTATATTTGTTGTGTATACAAATTGCACGCTTGCTGTTGAAACGTAATCATAAACTGAAAATGAAATAATCTCAATGAAATTGATCACTGATTTAATAAAAGTGCTACTATAGTATTTTAAGAACTTGTAAAATACTATTAATTGCAAAAAATATTACTCCAGCCAAAATTTGAACCTCCCGATTATCCGAAGCAGTGTCTTTTCCAATTCAATCACTAAAGCGTATGATAACATTTGTCGCAATAACAGTATATAAAGAACAAACGTATTAAAAGATCAACGTATATAAACAATAACAAGATATCAGACCGATAATTTAGATATGTGTGTATAAAATAAGTTTTTAAGATATTAGTAGATATTAAATCAATGATCAATTATTCAAATGTTATTTCAGTTTTAATTTATGATTACGGAGCACAGTTTATATAATTGTAAGATGTATTTAGAATTTACATATAAAAAATACTATTAGATACTAAGATCTAGCCTCGATTTATTCTGTATACAGCGGCTAGGTTACCTTATTATTGATGAAAAAGATTATTTGTTATAAATTATAAGATAATAACCGCTACACATACACACATGCGCGCGTGTGAACACATTCAAATAAAAAAAAAGTAAATATCTGTACGATTGCAATTAAATGGATATATTTAATGAATTTAATGATAAATTTTATCCTATCAATAACATTATCAATTGCGAATATCAGATTTTTAATAAGAGCTATTATCTATCCATTTATTATCTATGAAAGTATGTCCAATAAATATGTGTTATATTTGTGAAACGTAAAAAAACGAGTTCGGTTATAAGAAAGTAAAAGGAATTAGTAATTATCGTTTTATAATTTAAATAAGATAACATTAAAAATAATATGTATTTTATTTTAATATATAAATTTATTGCGATTAAACATTCATTAATTCACTCCATTTTGATCTGATATTTAAAGTAAAAAATGTAGTTTATATAGCCTGATTTTAGGCTTTTAATATATTACACAAACAATGTTGCTTGACATGTTAAGATTCAACCTTGGAAAAAAATACACTCGTTTTACGAGGCGTGATTCCGGTCAGTTAATCGTGTGATTAATGTTTGATAATAAAGAAAAAAAATCTGTCGTACAAGAGTATATTGTACTGTAGACATGTCAATATCGAGCAAAAATATCGACTACGCGCGCGCGCACGCGACGCGATATATATATTCAGTTATTTTAAAACTATCTATATTCTTTCCAAATGAATAGACATATATATATATATATCAAATATATGGCACAATAGATTCCAAAAAAAAAACCGCTACTTTCTTTTAGACCTTACAAAGATATGTAATACTTGATATTTAATCATTTGATGTAGGAAACTAGGAACGATCATTTATTTATAATCCTAATCCCTATTCTCTATTACAAATTATAAACGATAAATGAAATGTACCGATTACCGAATGCATCCAAAATTCCTAAAAGTATTCATAAAAATGGAGAGTGAATATGAATGGTAAAAAAATATCTAGTCAATATTTTATTCATAAATTTTTATTCGATATTTTTATATCAAGCAGCAAAAAAATATCGAATATTCGATATTATCGAACAACGATAAACATCCTTAGTATATTGGCATACTAATATGCAATGGTCATTATTTAACTCAATAATTAGTTTTGTTACAGAATTAAAAGCAAGGAAGCTTATTACTAATCTTTTTGCTAATATTTTAACAAATAAAAGCAAATGTTATATTTTTACAGTTCCTCAACATAATATTTCAGTAGTTTCTTTTTGTAAAAAAGAATATTTATTTACCATATGTACATATTGCGCTTCACAAATCTTGAGATTCTCGAGCTTTGGACGTATTTATATAGCCGACTCTGATGTCAAGGAAAACTTTTTTCGATTCGGAATATCAATTGTGCGTATAATACCTCTCCCCAGAATGTAAAAGTCTTCGATCATCGTCGAAATGTTTAAAACGAGTTTGCCATTAGCGTCGAGTTTTCTGCAATTGGCATCTGATACTTTAAAATCTTTACGCTCGAGGACAGCGGGTTTCAACAGAACC